ACTGAAAGCACCACAAACATTCTGACAGGCCTACAAAGACTACTCATCGAGTATCCAATATTCCGGGCGCATGACGCATGTGGCAACGGTTTTTGACACTCCTTCTACCACTCTCTGCGCTTGCTTCTTGTTCCCAATCACATGCCTCGTATCGCTTGTGGATCAGGTATGGCGGAGGCACCACTTGCCTGTCCCAAACGGTTCCTGCCTGGCCAAGGGTTTGGGAGCTGAAATCGGGGTTCCGGGCTGCATGCTCCCTACCCTGTACTTAGCCAGATTTGGAAGAGTGGTGTTCTTCTAAGTACCCTGGTCCCTGCAGCCATTCCCACCGAGGTCCTTGGAATCCTGTCTCTTGATTCCCATTCAATCCCTGCAGCCGTCCCTTGACCTGGAAAGGTCTCAAAGCTCTAGCCCAAGACAAACCAAATACCTATGTAAGGCTTTGAATTCTCTGATTTTTGAGTGGAAGGGACTCGTGCAGCTTGCCTGTGTAGGCTGCACCATTGCGGCAACGCGAACCGGAGGCCTTCATTTCAGTCACAAGCTACGTTCTTCAATCATGGATGTCGAGATGCCTGTATTCAATTCCAGGAAGGGGGTGTCAGGGGCCTCCTCAATTCAGAGCAGAACTGCAGAAGTACTGTACGGTCATGATCCTGTTTCCAAGTGTTGCTCATGAATACGAATCAATTCCACGTATAACTAAGTATGACACAAGCACTTTTGATCGTGGCGAACATGTGTTGTTGATGGCTGCATCTAGCAAAGCCAAGCTCGCTCTATACACTTCCAAAGCATTGTATTCCGCAACACAATGGCCCCTCAAACCACCCATGACAAGTATCAATGCAACACATCGTGTACCACTTCCAGGTGCCGGACTTTGCGCGAGGCAACTCCTGAGGGAGATCCCAGTTCTGACTACGTGGCATGAGCAAGGGCAGGGGTAGGAATAAGATGGGGACGAGAAATAGGAGTAGAAATAGGAGCAGGCCTAGGAGTAAGAATGGTCATGGTAGCAAGGGTGGGTGGCCGTAGTCGCAATGGTAGCAGCCGCAGCCATACTTGTAGCACAACTCTGGCACGAGCGCAAGAAAGAAAGGCAAGCGCTCAACAATCCTCAACATCAAGCAATAATGAAGGGGTCAACGAAGGTGAGGGATTCTGGGATTGATGTCACAAGCCCACAACAGTCCCTAGCCCTAGCCATCAACACTGACAGCCCTCTCTCACTGCCCTTGGCAGCTAGTTCCGAAAATGCGCTCCGCATAATATCAGGATATCTCCTGAATAACTGAGGCGTCCTCTGATTCAGAGATCTCATCATCCGTCAACAACTGAGGTGTCTAACCTTCAACGAACCCTCGCAACCCTAAACCTTAGGCCCTATAAACCCTAAACCCT